TGTGTGTTTCTAGTCCTCATGTGTGCAGATTCCAAAGCCTATTTGAAACCAAGGTCTGAGTGACCTTCTGACCACATCATAAGAGCTGCCCAATGGGCGTATGGCTGCTCTATCTCAGTTTTGCTTTTGATGTTATCTGCATCCTTGGCTAATTAGGCTAGCTTTTGGATTACGAAAATCTTAGAAAGAAAAGATGTTTTCTTGTTTTAACAGTGAGTGGGCTTGAAAAAACTGTACAGCATTATGAAATGGTTTTGGCAAAGCTCTGAATTATTTGTGCAGTTTTAATAAACTCTCCACAGCTCCCCTCTGTTTCCTGGTTCTTGGGAATGCAGTCAGTTTCTGATCACAACCTCGTGTGCCTGCTAGTTCTTCACAGTGAAGAATCAAGCATTTGTTTTTATTTATTTATTTAATTTCCTTTTTTCCCCTCCGCTATATTTTGGAAGCACTTTTTCTTATGAGGAAATTACAGTTGTAGTTAGTGCTGAGGACAAAATTATTTTAAACACTACTGATCACCTAAGAATCCTTTGAGCCTATCTACTATGATTTTAGAAATTTCCACCAACTGATACTTGCTAGTTAAGTGCAAGTATTCGTGGTTCTGGTAGGTCAAGTAGTAAACTTGTCTTTGTGACACAGAATTTATCATTTTACACTAAAAAATTTATAAGAATATTTCTCCCATGGCCTATACGCATATCTGTTAACTTTTTTTAGACTTAAAATATATGAAATGACTCTTCAGGCATCTTTTTCCATACTTCGCAAACATATTAGTAATGATAAAAGGAGTAGCTGCTGCTATCTTGATTCTCTTACACCCATTCTCCATCTGATCTGTGTTTCTACCCTTGCTGCAGAGGGTTAATTAAAAAGATATGCATCAAAACATTTGCTTAAAAGAGACATAGCCCTTTGGTGAGCAGGAATTACTTATAATATTAACACTTCCTGTCTGGTAAAATGCTATATTTTAAAAAATAAGCCACAATGTATAAAACCAAGGTCATTTCTCACAAAACGTCTGTGTTCTTTGTGATTACAAAACACTGCATCTGGTAAAATATCTCCAGTTAACTTGAGAAGTTGAGTACTGACGCTTATGACCAAAGTGTCATGTCTCTTAGAACTGTAGAAGCCTAACCAGTGTATTTCTTATTTGGAAAATTAAGTTATAATTGTTTTTGTATTTAAAGATTACATTTTGCCACAACATATTACCATTGTGATTCTCAGACCCACAACAAAAGTTATAAAACATGAGATTGTCTTAAAAAAAAAAGGAACTATTTACAAAACAGGACCAGAAGTAAAATTCCCATTTTGGTTCCTGGTCCTATGATAGATATACCATTTAAAGCATGTATATCACTGGATATGGGCTTTTTCAAAGTCAGTCATAATAAGTAAACCAGTTGGTCTTAAATACATTTTATCCTTCTTGCTCTATTGGTGTGCATTACTCAGTGATACAACTGGTACCTAAAAGTGCTAATCTCATTTTATTTACTGACTTCAGGTTTGGCTAGTTACAATGCAAAAAAGACACAAGAAACAGTTCCACTATGGAGGAAACCCCACAGGTACGAGGAACAGGGACAGTCCGTGCCACTGGTAGGGCTACTTACTTAGAGAAATGAAATTTCCAGTTGACCCGTGTGCCCAGAGCATTCTCCAAAATGATCCACATTCTCATTCATATTCATGAATCCTGCTCTGTTTCCACTCATTTCTATGCACAGATCCTTCCCCAAGTTCACACAGGTCAATGCTACAGAAGAAGTGGTCGATAGCAATTCTACAGGGTCATGAGAAAAAGCAGCACCTTGTCCACAAGAGTCCATGGAAGTTTGTTTGCTAACATGCTATTAAAGCAAAATGTACATCGCTCAGGGCTTGCTTTCACTTACAGAATTCTGCTGATAGCTAATAAACAGTCACCCAATGGGTAATAATAAAAAGGATCAGCAAGGCTTTGTATTCACAATTACATTCAGAAAAAGCCTTACAAGAGTCTATGAATAATCCCCAGGCATTGTACCTGTAGTTCAAATGTTAGCTTTAGGCTATAGGTCAGCTACAAGCGGAACAGCTTATTTTCCCAGGGCACTCCCCCACACCTCACAAATGTCAGTACTGCTCAGTTCACACAAATCTGTCTTGAAATGACATGATGTTCATTTGAGAAAAAAAAAAAAATTGTTCTGACTAGAAAAGACTTTAGTGATGATAACAAAATTCGTCCTAGTTTTAGGAGTCTCCAGACCGATTTTTTGCATGCCCTTTATTTTTCCCTGAGGAAATGAGTATTATTTACAGTCTTTTGCTACTATTCTCAAGGATTTTCTCTTCTATGTACAACTCTGGCCACTTTTCTCTGAACCTTTGCACTTTGGAGTCTGATGAAGTGGGGACGTGGATTCAGCAGTGCCAGCTTATTCAGAACCCAGGGCTGCTTTCAAAAGTGTGGCATTAGTGTGACACCAGAAGCAGCAGACTTAAACTTGAGTGATCTTGAGATTTAATGGAGGCCATTTCAGTTTCAAAAATCTTTTGCAACATACACACATGTGACTATCTCTTTGAAAAGTTTTTAGAAAGGTGAAGAATTGTGTCATTCTCTATTAAAAATTTGCGTCTGCAACATGGTTATAGTTGGGCGAGGAATTGAGGTCTAAGAAAAGGGCACCTTGTTGGTGCCTGGAGCTGCTGATGGGCACTTTGCAGCTAAGCGCACACATTCTTGCTCAGAAACCCACGGCTTTTTTCCTGACTGGCTTTTGCCAACCAAGGGAGGACACTTTTCAGCTAGTGAGGTGGAGAGAAGTCCGTGTCTGCTAGAGATGCCCACTCAGGCTGGGCACAGCAGACCTGCACTCTGGAGGTACTTTCCTTCAGGTCATTCTCCCCTTGCTTCAGGCAGCTGCTCCCAGAGGAGAAAATGGAAGATCCCTGGGAGGTGCTCAGTGACAGTGACCACTAGCTGATCAGCACCAAGAAGGTAAGTGGGAGCCAGGTGTCCATGAGCCTCTTGTACCTCCTCCCTGACCCCCTGGCTACCTGTGTATTTTCTCCAGGTTGTCACACTGCCTCCACCTATGCAGCACACATCTTCTGGGAAGGCCCAAGGCTTAACACCACTGCCTGCTGGCCACTCTGCTTTGTCGCTCTCTGGAGAATGTCCTGTCAGTCACTACGAAATGACTTCTTTGGAGAGAGATGAAAAACGTTTTCTGAAGGCAGGGGTGTCAAAGCAGGAAAAAAAAAATCAAAAGGCTACATCATGCCTTACTTAGAAATATTTCGGGACCAGAATCTATTGTGTTGCCTTTTGCCTGACAGGCCTCTGAGGTCCCTGCGGTGGCTGGGGCTCCAGTTCCACCGCCAGCCTGCCGTGGGAACACTCTGCCCAGCCCTTCCCCTCCTCCCGGCCAAAAGAACACAGAGAACTTGGTTCCTCAGAGATGGCATCAAACGAATGTCTGGCTAATTTGGCACTTCATTTAGTTCCAAAATAGAACAAAATAATGCTACATGTAAAAAAAAAACAAAACCCTAACTTGCATGTTCAGCAGTGTGTATTAAAATTTACAGCTTTCTGGGTGACCTGTAAGGAGTATAATTCCTTTTCTTCAAGGCCAGCCATGTGTTGCTTGGTGGTCTACTAGTTATTTCACGCCTTGGTCCAGGGAATATGTGTCTGTGTCCAGGAAGGTACTGAGGGTCTGTCTGCACCTGAAGCCAGAAAAGAAATTACACAGAGCCCTGGGCTGGCAGGCAGAAAGGAGCCCCAACTTGGGCAGGAGATATGAAGCTGTCTGTGTGAAAAAGGCTTTAGAAAGGAGAAGAGATCCCAGGGAAGCTACATTCAGCTCTTAGTTCTGCTTATACCTGTGTACTAGCCGAATATCAGGTAAGGACTGAGCTGGGCTCAGCTAAGCTGGAGCTCAGCACTACTTATGGGGTATATATTTGGAGGTAAAAGCCACAAGGCTCTGCTCCAGAACTGTTCCAAAGCAAAGATCTCTCCCTCCTTGGTTTCAAGGTTCTGGGATGGGGGGATGGATTTTATACTTCATGACTTGAATCTTTTTCTATTAATAACAGTCCAATAATCATGGGCCAGGGAGCTTTGCTGAAGAGAAAAACCTCTGGTCCAGGACTGTACCCTGTGATTTAGGCCACTGGGCAATCTACCTATCACTCAGGGCTTCCTGGACCAGGCCAGAGCATTATCTCACATCAGTGGTGGTGCAGGGGAGGTGACAGGACACCAGGAGAAGAAAGGACTTGAGAGTAGAAGAAATAAACACACTTCTGTGTTTTAAAAAAATGCCATTTCCTGGCTGACCTTGTAAGTCTAAAACATACAGTATTGCTGGTGCTGTAACTAGTACTGATTGGCAATCAAGATGCAAAATTAGATGAAGCTCTTTTAATCTTCTCTTAAAGTAAATGTTTTTAAAGAAAAAAAAAATCAGGATCTCTTCCAAGGAATAATTTCTAAAAAAAAAATAGATGAGAGTTTAAAAAATAAAAATACCATAATAAGTGAATGCACAGACGGTGGATGTCACACTGTAGAACCTCCTTATACTTTCTTTGCTTATATATAAAAAGAATATCTCATTACTAGATGACTTCTATCTACTCTTTAAAAAGTGTATGTACAATCTCTAGACATATATTAAACTCTCCTGTGCAATTTCATTTAACATTCCTATGGCTGATCCCATGTCCCCTCTCCCTATACAGCGCCTCCTATAAGGTGCTCTTCCTACTTTGCCCATTTAGCTGGGCAATCAAGAGTAGGGTAGATAGAGAATGAGCTTATTTATACGGCTTGACAATGACTCCCATCTCTCCACACCACTACCTCCCAAACAAGCAAGCAAGCAAATTACAAAGCCCAGTAAATGGAACATAGTGCAAGCCCTTGCCCTACTAAATCGAGAAATTCCTATACCAACATGCATTCTCCTTTTGGTGTTCTGTATGTTCCCTTTTGAGTGAATTCTTAAATGAATAGCTCCAATATTTTTATAAGAAAAAAATTAAGATTTGGACCTTCCATTTACCCACAGAATGTTTATATTGTTAATTAACTCATCTCTCAGACATGCTAAAGCATAAAACCTATAAAAGTGCACTCAGAATGGAAGTGGTTTGTCAGCCTAACATGACTTTATGAACAGGTGGGGCCATGTGGGCTGTGCTTTGTTGTCTAAAGCAAACCTACTGGGACAGTTTGGAGTTCTCGACCTCTTCTGAAATCAGTCAGTGGTAGAGTTTGGAGAGAAGGCAAATGACCCATTAACCTGGCTACAATCTTGACAGACAAGTAGTAACAAATCGCTCCAAGCTGCCATTTGTGTCACATCCCTGAAGAAGCATCAAGGCTTACCCAGATGGCTACAGGTGCCAGTTCTTGACTGAGCTGCGGCAGGCAGACAGTAGAGCGAGCTGTGCTGCCTCTAGGAGAAGAGCTTCTTATGGATTCAAGGAAGACTCCTAGATGTTTCCCAACAGTGACAGCTGGACTTCCTGAACTCAGTGTGGGGCTGAAGTCTGCTGGTGATTTCCATGGATAATTGCTTCTCAAATTTATGCCATCTGGGGCCCTACAAGCTAACAGCTCTACCATGGTTCAACTGGGGCCATTCTTCAAAACAAAACAAAAAGACATAGAAAAGATGTCCAGAGTGCTGCACTTTCTTGCAACACATCCTGATGTATACTGCTCCAAGAAGTCAAATGGAAAAACAGGGAAAAGATTATTCACAATAAAAGTAGGTATTGTTTTTTGTACAAATGCTACTGAATAACCTGTAGCTGGTTTTTTAAGTGTCAAAAAAATCTTGAAAATGGCATAATTCAGAAAGCTTATCAAAATCTGCCTACTTTCTAGGTAAAATGGGCCTTGTTGGTTCAATTGCTACAGAAGTCCACAGTTTTAAGTCTAGACATACAGCAAAAAAAGTTGACTTTTCTTTTGAAGGAAAAAAAAAAACCAGTTATAGCTGCTTCAGACTGGGTTCTCAGTAAGAGCAACTTTCTTCTGTCATAGGTGGTGACTTCAAAAAAATTTTTTTTTTTGTTTTTGCTGTTATTCCTTCAAGGTTCCTGAAAAGGTTTTCCTGGCTTCGACTGTGCTGTATTCAGCAGGAAAAGCTCTTTCCAACACCTGCAGCAGCAGGCCAGGCCAGGCCAGGAGCAGCTCAGGGCCCTGAGCCCTTCCGCCTGGGGGGCCTTTCAGTCGAGGAACCTCTGGCAGGCCTTCTTCCAGCGGCAGGCGGTACACCACATGTCTCGGTTCTCCATCCCATACACCTTCCGACACTTTTTGCCCTCTCCCCTGGGCTTCCTGTAAGACAGATGAGGAAGATTAGTTTAGTGGGAGGGATTCAATGGGCATTCCATGGAGAGCTCAAAATCCCTCGAAAGAGTGAGGAAAAAAAAAAAGCTGGCCGTGGTGGCTCACGCCTGTAATCCCAGCACTTTGGGAGGCCAAGGTGGGTGGATCACAAGCTCAGGAGTTTGGGACTAGCCTGCCAACATGGTGAAACCCTGTCTCTACTAAAAACAGACAAAAATTAGCTGGGTATGATGGCATGTGCCTGTAATTCCAGCTACTCAGGAGGCTGAGGTAGGAAAATCACTTAAACCCAGGAGGTGGAGGTTGCAGTGAGCCGAGATCATTGCCACTGCACTCTAGCCTGGGGGACAAAGGTAGCTCTCTCTAGGTTCAGATACTAATATGTGCTGGTTGTTTTCACAGCCACTACACTCAACTGTTAAAATTTGCTGCCATATCCCTTAAGCGTCTATTTGTCTGTTTGTGGACATGTCAATTTGGCCATCTTCATAAAACTGAATTGAACAAGTAAACACAAGAAATGCCAGTAGAGAGCAACATTGCTCTTTCAAGTTTTTAATTAGGTACTTTCAAATGCTTCCTCATTCTCAATTTCTAGTACAACAGTCCCTGGTAAGGGTGGGGGATATGTCCCAAGACCTCCAGTGGATGCCTGAAACTGCAGATAGTACAAAGCCCATATATATTATGCATGACTTTTTCTTTCTTTACAGTTTTATGGATTGAAGATCCAATCTTACTGTCGATCTTCACAACCTCAGTGTACAATTTTTTTTCTTTCCTCGTTAAGTTGAAAACTTTCACCTTTTCACTTAAAGGACGCATTTTACGGCTTGTCTTTGGCATATCTGAATTCCAGCCTCACCACTCTTGTACTTTGGGTCCATTATTAAGTAAAAGAAGGGTTGGCTGAACACAAGCACAGTCCGTAACAGTCAATCTAATGGGCGAGTAGTGTAGACAGTGTGGATACACTGAACAAAGGGATAATATTCATCCCAGGCAGGACAGAGTTGGATGGTACGAAATTTCATCACACTACTCAGAATGGTTTGCAATTTAAAACTTATGAATTATTTGTGAAATTTTCCATTTAATATTTTTGAACCTCAACTGACCTTGGGTAACTGAAACTGCAGAAAGTAAAACTGGATAAAAGGGGACTACTGTATTTTGGTTAAGGAACTTCTGGGGAGGTCGTCCTTGATCTGTAATAAAAATTGTATCTCACAGTTCATTTAATATATAGGTTAATACAAGATGGCTCTAATTCGACCTAATAATCACCATTACCTATTCTGTATATATATATATAAAGCCTTACTTTAAATAATTACCCTTTAAAACAACAAATCTTCATTAATAGGTAATGGATGGGAAAAACCATGGGAAAAAAATGAAAGGAAATTTTGTCAGTTGTGGAGAAATTTTATAGAGGATCATCTCTCAGGGTTCCCTCTGCTGTCCTGTTTTACAGTTAATTCCCCTGAGGTGAAGTGTGTAGAGTTTTGAGCTGTCATACCTTAGGCTGACCGTGCCTCTGGGCGGGGAGGACAGGACCGTGTGTGCGTGCTGTCTCTGCTCTCCTGTGCCCACTGGATGATGATGTGTGGGTGATACCTGGTGAACAGATGGAAAACAAAGTTGATGGGGCAGGTTCTCCACCCATGCAATTGTTAGCCTTTGCTATGTGGATGATGGTCCTTGACCATTAGAAGCAGAGATGAGGCTGGGCACAGTAGCTCACACCTGTAATCCCAGCACTTTGGGAGGCCGAGGTGGGCGGATCACTTTTGGTCAGGATTTCAACCAGCCAGAACAACATGGCGAAATCCTGTCTCTACCAAAATGTACAAAAATCAGCTAAGTGTGGGAATGCGTGCCTATAATCCCAGCTACTTGGGAGGCTGAGGCAGGAAAACTGCTTAAACCCTGGTGCTGAGGTTGCAGTGAGCCGAGATCGTGCTACTGCATTCCAGCCTGGGTGACACAGTGATATCCTGTCTCAAAAAAAAGCCAATACCTCACACAGTTTTTACTTCATATCTATGTATTTCAAATTGCTCATAATGCCATATTTTCACTTGAATACTACTTTAAATCTTAAAGTACATTCCTGTTTCTTTTAATCCTCATAAACTCTGTCAAGTAGGGCAAGCCTCATGATTCCCTTTTTAGAAGATGAAACATACCTAGAGAGGTTAGGAGATTTATTTAAGCTTATGTAGCTAGTAAGCAACCATGACACAATGCAGTCTAGGCCTTCTGTTGGCTCTAGTGGATCAATCACAGCCACTAAATACATGAATTCTTGTATAAAACACCCCACCACAGCAGACTCTTGGGTCTAAACAGGAAGGAATAAAGGCAAGAGGCAGAGAGCCTGAGCAAACCAAGAATGTCTGCCACCCACCAAACACTTTCTCAGCACTCACTGAGTGCCAGATCACTGACAGCAGCTTTAATCTTCACAACGACCCCTTGCAGTATTATTTTTGTTCCCATTTTACGGATTAGGAAACCAAGGCAGAGGGAGGTTAAGTAACTTGCCCAAGGTCACGGCATGTGTCACAGTAGAGCAGGGCTGTGCTGCGGCTCTCCCTGGCACCAGGACGTGTGTTTAACCCTGTTGCTTCTCTGTCACTCAGTCATGGAGGAGGGCTGTTCTCCGTCCCTCCCGATTACTCACTTCAGCCCTTTGCATCACCTGCTCTTGTAACGCTAAACAATCTTCCCAGCTTTTGGAATTCTCAAAAGCTGCAACAAATTAATTTTTTAACGAAGAAAAATAATGTCTCAAGTAATTAATATTGCCATATATGGGAGGGCAGGCATTTAATAAATTTAAAAACCTAGGAGCCAACATGGTCATAGAAATAGCATTGTCAATTAAAAGTCATGGGAGCATTCCCAAGACATACTTAGAGACCTGCTTTTCTCTAGTACAGGTATTAGTACTTTCTCTTCTCTTTCATTGTATGTGACACAGTTTGGATGTGTGTCCCCGCTTGAATCTCATGTTGAAACGTAATCCCCAGTGCTGGAGGTGGGGCCTGGTGGGAGCGGTGTGGGTTATGGGGATGGATCCCTCATCAATGGCTTGGACCAGGCGTCCCCAAACTATGGCTCGCGGGCCGCATGCGGCCCCCTGAGGCCATTTATCCGGCCCCCTGCTGCACTTCAGGAAGGGGCACCTCTTTCACTGGTCAGTGAGAGGAGCGCAGTACGTGGCGGCCCTCCAACGGTCTGAGGGACAGTGAACTGGCCCCCTGTGTAAAAAGTTTGGGGACGCCTGGCTTGGACCATTCTCTTGGTGATACGTGAGCTCTCACTCGAGTTTACGTAAGACTGTGGTTGTTTTATGCTCATTCCTGCTTTCACACATGACGTGCCAGCTCCTCCTTCACCTTCCACCATGAGTAAAAGCTCCCTGAGGTCTCCCCAGAAGCAGATGCCACTGTGCTTCCCGTACAGCTTGTAGAGCTAATGAAACCTCTTTCCTTTATAACTTACCCTGTCTCAGGTATTTATAGCAATGCAAGAATGGCCAAATGGAGACCTTCAGTGTTATTTTCTCTGACATTCATTTTAGTGCTATGGTCTGAATGTCCCCTCCAAAACTCATGTTGAAATTTACTTGTCATTGTAATAGTATTAAGAGGTGGGGCCCTTAAGAGGTGATTACGCTATGAGGGCTCCACTCCCATGGGTGGGATTAGTGTATACAAGGGCCAGTGTGCCCCCCCCCCTTTCACCTTCTGCCATGTGACGATGCGGCATAAAGGCCCTCACAGAGGCTGGCATGTTGATGTATGACTTTGCAGCCTCCAGGTTGTTAGTAAATTTCTGTTCATTATAAATTACCCAGTCTAAGGTTTTCTGTTATAGCAGTACAAAACTTAAGACACTTAAAAAATTATACAGGTAGGGCCGGAAGTGGTGGCTGATTCCTGTAATCCTAGTGCTTTGGGAGGCCAAGGTGAGTGGATCACTTGAGTCTAGGAGTTTGAGCCCAGTCTGGGCAATAGTAGCCCCATATCTACTAAAGATACAAAAATTAGCCAGATGTGGTGACATGCACCTATAGTTCCAGCTACTTTGGAGACTGAGGTGGGAGGATTACCTGAATGTGGAGAGGTCAAGGCAGCAGTGAGTCAAGACTGCTGCACTACATTCTAGCCTGGGCAACAGAGTGAGACGCATCTCAAAAAAAAATTTCATACAGGTAAGTAAAAATCTAACATTTGGAACCACTGTTGCCATGAATTTGAATTAGTCTATATCACTGGTCTACACGCTAGAGTTGGGTGGAGCAAGGGCCACCAGAGGTAACATTCACAGTTTTTAAAAATGAAAGTTTTGGGGTGCCAAGATGGCTGAGAGGAGGCCATACTGGAATGTAGCTCCCAGCGAATGAGAGGCAGAGGGCTAGAGATTTCATGATTCCAAGCGAGGTGCTAGGTTTGATTCGGTGGGATTGGTAGGACACTGAAAATAGCTCATGAAAGGGTGAGCCAAAGCAGGGCAGAGCAGCCCAGGGAGGGAGAACCGAGACAGGGCAGGGTGTGTCCCCACTTGGAATGTGCAGCCAGCTTGGAGGGTCAGGGACTTCACCCCCTTGGTGCTCCAATTCGGATCCTGTGCTTCCCTCATCCCTCCTGCAACCCACGGTCCATGAGAGCCCCACCGGACTGTGGGGCACCATGGGTTGTCCATACAAATCTGAACGATGGCTCCCGCCTGGTGCCGCAAGTTGTCAGCGTGGACCTGGGTGGAAGTATGGACTAACACCAGCGGGACGGACCCATCTCACAGAAAGAGGCAGAGTTGAAAGCAAAATGGGCCATAAGGCCTGGCAGGTTCCACCCTCACAAAACTCAAACTGAAGCCTGCACGCTAGAAAGCTTCACAGTGAATACACCAGTTTGATGACAATTGGGAAGATTGAGTTTGGGGAAGGAGAGACACCATTGGGAAGGTGGGCTAATCTCACCTGCCTGAACAAACTCCCAGGGAAGACCATCCACCCAGCAACCTGACTGAATCTGAGGCAGCCCAGCAGTGCCACTACAGGCCAAAAAAGATAGAGCTCCAACTTTCACAGAAAGGATGTCCACTCAGATTCCTCCCCAAATCACCAACTTCAAAGATCAAAGGGAGATAAATCCACAATGATGGGAAGAAACCAGTGCAAAAAGGATGAAACCATCAAAGACAAGAATATCTCTTCTCCTCCCAGGGATTACAACTCCTCACCAGCAAGGGAACAAAACAAGACAGAGAATGAGTTTGACGAATTGACAGAAGCAGGCTTCAGAAGGTGAGTAATAACAAACTTCTCTGAGTTAAAAAGACCATGTTCTAACCCAATGTAAAGAAACTAAGAACCTTGAAAACAGGTTAGACGAAAAGCTAACTAGAATAACCAGCTTAGAGAAGAACACAAATGACTTGATGGAGCTGAAAAACACAGCAAGAGAACTTTGCGAGGCATACACAAATTTCAACAGCTGAATTGATCAAGCAGAAGAAAGGATATCAGAGACTGAAGATGAAATCAATGAAATAATACAAGGCTGCAAGATTAGAGAAAAAAGAGTGAAAAGAAATAAACAAAGCCTCCAAGAACTTTGGGATTATGTGAAAAGACCTAATCTATGCTTGATTGGTTTACCTGAATGTGACAGGGAGAATGAATCCAAGCTGGAAAACACTCTTCAGGATATTATCCAAGAGAACTTCCCCAACCTAATGAGGCAGGCCAACATTCAAATCCAGGAAATACACAGACCACCACAAAGATACTCTTCAAGAAGAGCAATCCCAAGGCACATAATTGCTTCATTCGCCAGGGTTGAAATGAAGGAAAAAATCCTAAGGGCAGCCAGAGAGAAGGGTCGAGTAACCCACAAAGGAAAGACCATCAGACATACAGTGGATCTCTCTGCAGAAACCCTACAATCTAGAAGGGAATGAGGGCCAATATTCAACATCCTTAAAGAAAAGAACTTTCAACCTAGAATTTCATACCCAGCCAAACTAAGCTTCATAAGTGAAAGAGAAATAAATAAAATCCTTTATGGACAAGCAATTGCTGAGAGATTTTGTCGCTACAAGACCTGCCTTGCAAGAGCACCTGAAGGAAGTATTAAACATGGAAAGGAACAACCAGTACCAGCCACTGTAAAAACGTACCAAATGGTAAAGAACAATGACACAATGAAGAAAACGTGTCGACTAACAGGCAAAACAACCAGCCAGTAAAAAAAATGGCAGGATCAAATTCAAACATAATATTAACGTTGAATGTAAATGGCCTAAATGCCCCCATCAAAAGACACAAACTGGCAAACTGGATAAAAAGTCAAGACCCATTGGTGTGCTGTATTCAGGAGACCCATCGCATGTGCAGACTCATATAGACTCAAAGGGACAGAAGAAGATTTACCAAGCAAATGGAGAGCAAACAAAAGCAGGGGTAGCAATCCTAGTCTCTGATACAATAGACTTTAAACCAACAAAGATCAAAAGAGACAAAGAAGGACATTACATAATGGTAAAAGGATCAATATCCTAAATATATATGCACCCAATGCAGGAGCACCCAGATACATAAAGCA